TCAAGTTGTGGCTAAGGATCAATAAATGTTCAGGGTAGACACAATAGAGGTATGCTCATGAATATAAACATGTGTCGTGTCAATAAATTGCCTGACAGGATACCCCTAGTAAAAGCCCCTGCCACGTCAAATGTGAACTCGAATTTGCTTGATTTCTTTCGCTCAATTTTAGTGAGTAGGCCACTCAAGTATTTCCGTTCATACAAAATTAAATAGAACGGAACCATTTCATTTTAGTACGCCAACAATTGAAAGTTGGACTTATTTTGTTAAGTGCCCATAAACATGGTTGTTGATGCTTTTAATTGTTTATTAATTACTTTTCAAGCACTGCTGGATCTTTCCAAATTTAGGCACGTATCCAAAATGACCGCAGATAATATAAGTTCGAGGTGATATTTAAACAAATACAAACAACATTCGGGTCAACAATGGTGCAACGAGGCTACGCCGCTACGCCATTATTGAGCAACGCGTTGCTTCAAATTAGGAGCTCACGACAACGTTTACGGTGACTTACAAATTCCGTAACCGGATACGTATTATCACTAAACTAAACGGTTACCAGAGTTATTTTATTTAAATCTCATCCCTATCCACATGAAGTTATGGTTTAGTGTCGTTTATCGAGAAAATAACTTTGAACAAGAATAATTTGAGTTGGTGTGTATTTTCTGCATGAAGGGATAACCGATTAAGAACATTATTTTTGAGCATCGTAAGTGCATGAATAATGCGTTCGGTTATCTGGGCGTCTACCTATAATTTATTAATTAATTACATAAAAGACTTACAACTCCGTTGCGTAATAATAGCGGCTTTGCATCATACCTATCACACCCGCTACCCGACAGCCACTCTTATCTTTCGAACAGAAATCACATCATATAAAACGTTATCAGGACCGTTTTATGTACTTTCGATGTATCAATCATAGACATGCCATACTCACTTAACTTTACATTGTAGATATTTGCAAAAAGTACATGGACTAGAAAACCTGATAACTAATGCTAGAAAACTATAGATAGATGCTTTTTTAACCTTCTAACCCCATTGATGACGCGCAAGAATTGTTTGACGGGCGGGCGTGCTGTTCATAAACTCATTGATTGATTCAGCTATCGTCAGATGCTAATGTTGTGTCATGTACACTTGCAAGGGAAGACAAATTAATAATTGCCGAAACCTGTCATGTAACAAACAACACATGATATACACACGTGTTACATACTTTCGAAACAAGTGCTCCCAGTTTTTGTCTAACAGAAAAAATTTACATGACGACAGACGGCTCTCTAGGGGAGGTACAAATATTATATAAAAATACATTATTTATAAAGGCATCAATCGTCAACATTCCTTTGTATAGAAGAAGCTCTGGAATGCTGAGCTGAGTTACAAATGTAACTAACTATGTATTTCATTTGAACTATTGTTTTAGGTCGTTGAAATTATTCATATTTTAATGGTAGTCGGTGTCTGGTTCGCGTCGAACTCATTTCACACTGCAAGCTACATGTATGGCTTGCATATGATTATGCAGATATAGATAGAGGCTTTGAAAACACTTTAGGTTCACGATTCCTTCCTAGACCTTCGACGTTCTTTGATAATTCTTTACAACGACCAGCTAAGTTCTATCCAAGGTTCTCTTACTCATATATTTTCAATCATAGATATGTTATAATTACAATACTATGCATTTTTTTTACTACGACTGCTTTGATTCATGACCCAATGTCCGCATGGTAACAATTTGACATTGAAGGCACTCGTTTTATAGAAGTAAGGCGGTAGTCGCTGGCCGTGTGTTATTCGGTACCTGGTAATAAAGGTACTCGCGCGCGGTCAACCGTCTGCGGTATGAACGAGCTTGACTTATCATAAACTAGTTTTTTTAACAGGTACTTTCGTCAGAGTGCAGTTACATTTTAGAATTTACTTGGGACGCGTTTCTTGGACCTGTAAGTCCATGCAGAAATGATTCTGCTTATAATTTTATTAAGTCCTTTAATGTCAGAGTACCTATCACTATGCAGACTGGGTAAAATATTCCGCCTATTTATTTATGAGTAGTATGTACCTAAATATATCTCCGCAATGTTCTCAGTCAACATTTACGATAAACGTTATCTATGTAGATAACTTTTATATAAAAAACACTGAATAGAAAAACAGGTCAATACTTACGTCGAAAGTATAATATTCCATCATATTGGCGATATCGCGTATCATTTTAATACGTACAAACCACACCCTAATGCATTTTATAGCCAAGTGGGTAGGAATAATAGGAATATACATACACACTATTCCTCGCATCAATTACAGCAATAGAGATCATTGTTATATAAGGCTTCCCCAATTGAATGTTGATTGATGAATAACATATTTTAGTAGGTAAGTATATGTAGTGATGTATGACGTAAAAGTTGAGAAGCTTATGAAAAACCATGACATTTATAAATGTTACAGCTTTAACACTACTTTTATATTATAAGATGTTTATGCATAATGAGAGTTCATACAGGTTTCATAGTCAAACAAATCTTCTCAGCTTACTGTAATTAATGTCAATTAATTATAGTACGCTGAGAAGATTTGTTTACTTCGTACAAAGAATAAAAATTGTGAAATAGCTTGGCATGAACATATCTATAAGACAGAAGGTGTATAAAATAAAATAAAATGTAAATATTGGAGAGTGCAAGAGCATCTACCATTGTAAACCCCTGACATTAAAATAAGAATTTTTGAAGAACTCTATGAACAGGAAATAAGAAACAACATTCATCTAATGAATTCAGAATAATAATTAATGTAGAAACTTCATATTAGTGTAAGTTGTTATCAATTGGACTACCTCTTAGTGTGCATACTAGGGAATTATTTTACTTATCAAATATGTATCTAGGTTATTCCATATTAAACTGTCAAACACCGAGCGGTCACCGGTGACCGCAATCTATTGTTCATGACAGTACTCATGACAGTACTCAACGAGTTATGATTAAAATACAATAAAAGCAGTAATTAGGTACTATGTCATTTTAATTTGTTAAAACTTTTATAAATTGCCTTTTACTAACAACTTGGCAAGTTATTAATCTTATCTACACAGAATAAACAGTTTTTTATAATGCATCTGTAATTCTGTAAAATTTATTTGATTGAAATTCGGTACAATATAGTTCTGTACAGTATAAGTACCTAAAGAGACACAGGCAACAATTTATTCAGCCAGAGAATAGATATAGAACCAATGCAATAAGTAACAAACTTGCCCTTATAGCAATGAACATTCACAATATGATAACCCAGCCTCTTCACAGAACTAGGTGAGGTCAGTAACTGAAACTAACTATAATAAATAATAATTTATTATCTATGTGAAGTACTGCTACAAAAATAAATTATCTGTTAAATGATTTAAGTTATAGTTGCCACCATTGCCAGAAATGGCTCATAGATAAAATAAAAAAATCATTAAAAATGGTTTCTATTAAAATGAAAGGGTTTGTCATGCATTCAGATGTTATTTAAAAATTGACATTTTTTAAATTCTGATCCTTATTACCTATTTTTTGGTTATTAATTAAGTTATTATGTATGTATGTAATGTGATTATCTTACACACAGTTAATTTATTTATTTATTTTAAAGTATCAGCACATAGTAAGGTTTAGGTATTCTAGAAGACTAGATACAATTCAATTATAAAGACAAGAGTATAAAGAAAATTAGTAATAATGACTTTAAATTAATGAATAATGAAATAATTACTGGAGGTCATTATAGGTCATAAACTATGTAAGAGTAAAATGTAACTTTAAATGAATTATTTACTTTTGTTAAGTTCAACCTAAGTATTGTTCATTATAATTATTTAATATTTATATTGCTTTTAATACCTAATAATTTAAACTATTCTATTCAATTTGAATAAACTAATAACATGTCACATTGTGAATGACACTAGTATTGAATGGTATGCTAAATGTACTTTCAATACAAATCTGAAACATAAGTTTGTATGAACAGTACCTACCTATGTAACCTAATGAGAAGTTGTGTAATAATTTACATTTCAAATGATGTGCACCAAGGTCTCATGTACTCTAGTCTCTAGGGCCAAAACCAAACGCATACATTTATTTTATAAATAATGCACACGAATAGATGAAATAACATTAGTACGCATGTCATGAAATTGCATAGCGTTTTCGTAAAAAAAAATCAATGGATCACATGATTTATCCAATGAAGTCACATGACCAAAATGCACATATTAGGAGCAAGCAATTATTTTAACATGGAAATCGGTAGTAGTTTTAAAAATCGTTCTCAATGTTACATAACTGAGGGCATGACCATTTAATACTTACCATTGTTAGCATTGCCACTGCTTGTCTTGTCATTCACGGAATTGTTCGCTGGACATTTTTTCACTTTTTGAGAAGCATTTTTCGTGGAGTTATCATGCACATCACTACCGAGAGCCATCACAACACGAGGAATCAATCCGGTTCAGATTGACCGCAACGAACACGGCTCCACTCAGCTGAAAGAACACATGCGGTAGACTTAAGGTTCAATTTGGACTAACAAGTTTTCCAAATCCAATATAACCCGTCAAAATTTAAAGTACGCTGTGTCTTATCACATCTTCAGAAAATTTTGAGCCTACACAATGTTATAGGTTTATATAATAGATAGAGCACAGGAAAAACGTCATTAAAAAACACAGCTAAAAATACTAAGTACGTTTTCACTGCTTACTTACTTTTAGCAATGTATTTCACTAATCGTTACAAACCCGCATCCTATTATGAACAAATCGGTATTGTCGATATAATTTTCTAGTTCTACGAAATAAGTGCCATCTAGCGACAAAGAATCCACATTATTAATCAATCAATGACGTCTTGGCAAAATGACATTTTCGCAGCGTTCATAAATAGATTTCTTTTGTAGTAATGCGTTCGATTTAAACTTCACAACTTTCTGTTCGAATATGAAATTGAACCAAAACTAACAAAAGTAGGTATTTACTATCTAACTAAATTTTTCACGTACAATAATTTATCACGTCAGTAAACCAATCAAACCATAACTCAAAAAATAATCATACTGGTAACTCGAGGGATCAAAAGACATCTACCTGCTTACTGAAACCAAAGTGGCTATGGTTTTGTTGTCAAACAAAAATGTCAAACATGAAGAAAATCCAAAATGATTTGCTATTGAAATAGAAAATAACCTGATATTTAGAAGTTTTCTTCATTGAATAAAGCTAGCCAGGGTTACAGAAAAGATATTAAAGAAGATAATAGCTTGATACGGCTATAAAGGGATATAAAATATTTTTCTCACAAGTTTCTAATTACTTTTATACTGGCGTCAGAAAATTATTCCAAGGTAATTTTTATTGTACAAAATATAATCAACATTAAATTTAATTGATGAAATTAGTAACTCGAAACCCATAAAATACCTATCGATCAAATTGGCTGCTTGATATTTAGGTTATATTATATTTAAAAGGAAGTTTTAACGTTTACAGAAAATGCTAGACGGGTGGTACTGCCGCTCTATAGCAAATATGCAAGCCAATGAGGCTAGTGTGAGCAATAATGCGCCACCGGAGCCCCCACAGGCGCGTGACTCACACAAAGAGTATTCTTCGGACAGTAGTAGTGATCCTGAACCCGAACCTAACTACAGGGCACAGTACATGGCACTGAAGAAGAAGCTCAAGTATCTCATTTATGTAAGTAGTTAATGAATATTTCCGATTTGCCTTGACTAACCCATAGTTTGTCAAAATGCAGATCTAATGAAAACAATGGAGCCGTGAAGAACTTAAGGGGTCACTGGGGCCCGGCTTAAAGTGTAGGAGTAGGAACAAGGTGGTTTTTAGTCAGTAAGAGTCTGACACTCCCTCCCGCCTCACCCAGGCAATTGGTGAAGAATATAGCCTTTTGCTTTATTAATTTTGAATATGTGCAAGTGCAATAGATCTCCAGCTAATAGTGTCCACTATCAACGGAAGCTTAATATTTCCATAATTCTGTAAAAGTGGTGTCTATACTTGTTACCATTTCATACTTCGAAGTTTGAAATGGCGGCTCGTCCAAAGGGACTCTGGCACCCTAAAATACCATTGTAATTTCAAAATTTTATAAATATTAGCTATTATTGGTTGAAGTATTTATATTCTATTTCAATTTGTTTTCCATTCCAGCATTCCCATGGACAAGCTACGACTAGTATAAACATATTATGAAATTTTCTGCTTTGCCTTCATGTCTTCTGTGAATAAGTTATGATTATGAATCATCATCATATTATTTACATGTTATTTAGAAGATGTCTATTCCTGGACATAGGCTTCCCTTATTGATGCCCAGATCAGCTGGTTGTTATTAAATAGATAAGAAATAAAGAGACAAAGACTAAGTAGCAATTGGCATTCCATAGTCTCTGCCTACCACCATGGGAGATTATGTATGTATGTAATAATCCTCCATGCCGATTCAACTACGGCGACCGTTTCTTGACTACTGGCATCTATCATGGGCTCTCAAGTGGCTGGGAAATCCACCTTTGTTTATTCTTCTATAAATATTCTTCTACAGAGTGGACATGTAATATATATAATATGTATTGACTTAAATTAATTGAGGAGACAAGTCTCAAATTATTTGTGAAACCCATTTTAAGTATATGTGAACAAAATGGATATAAATATATTTGTATGTCAATTATTTACATTTTAAGACTAACAAACTCAAAAAGGTCTACAAATTTGAATAGGTCAGAATAATTGTAAGTAGCTTCTGCCAGCAGCTTTACTTGCGCTTCTGTGCGATAAAAGTAGCCTATGTATAATATCAGACCATATTCTATTCATTTTGTCGTGATTGAAACATAAAACTGCT